GAGGCGAAGGGGCGGTCCCCGGCCCGCCCTCCCGGACGCCAGCACCCGGTCCGGATCATCCTGTTGGTGGCCCGCCCGGACGGCAGAGAGAAAGGGAGCAACCTTCCCGCCCAGGTGGAAGGGGCAACGCAGGGGCTGGAATGGCCCCGGAGTTGGGAGTTGGAGAACCGGATTTCTTCCCGCCCTTCTCCCTGCTCTGCCTTTTTCACTGATTCATCACAGAAGTCCGATCTGTGCTGGGCATTAAGTAGGTAACCGCAGCATAGTGAGAGCCTGACAGTGTGCGGAATACGTTTACGGGAGTGAAAGGATGGTAGGAGACTGGTCAATGGAATGAACAGAAATGCAGTGATTGGAGACCAAAATGAGTCCGGCTGCTGGGTGCGGTGGTGAACACCTCATCCTAACACTGAGGAAGCTGAGGCAGGAGGATTTCGAGTGTTCAAGGCCAGTCAGGGCTACATACCCCGCTTCCCCAAAAATAAGACCTAAAGGGAAAATAATCGGCCTTGGAAACTAGAGATCAAACGTGTGGCCCATCAGACTTTCCCTGCCTCGCCTGTCTTACAGAGCAGCCACAGAGCAAGAGGGCAGTGAAGGAGGGGAGGGCCAGGACGGGCTGACCCGGCAGCAGGTTAGATCTTTAGCTTTCAAGGCTGATTATTTTCAGGGAAAAAGGTGAGTTCAAGGCCACCCTGAGCTACATAGCAAGACCCTGTCTCAAAAAAAAAACAAAAACAAAGTCAAATTACTTTCTCCCCAAGAGCTTCACACAGTAACGGGAAAGATAGAATAAGATAAACCATTCAGCTATCAATACTTGCCAAACTACTAAAGTATATAAATATAATGAAAGTATGTAAATTATTTCTCTGTAAGGTTGAATAAATTTGTATGCATATGCACGCATGCTTGCGAAGAAGTATTTTTGCTCCTGTGGGTGACAGTAAAAACAAGTTAGAAGAACACAGACGGGCTGTCAAAACCCCTAGGTAGTGCTCTTTGTGGGCCAGGGAGCGTTCTCAGGGCTGAGAACTTCAGTTCACGTGATCTTCGTGACTCTGTGAGGTCCAAACCTTAATTGCTCACAGAGAGGAAACCGAGGCGGGGGGGGGGGGGATCAAGTCCGTAGTCTCGGACCCCAACTGGGAAGTTAAAATGCTGGGATATGATGCCCGCTGTCAGCCGCCACACTAAGCCACCTGGCAGTTTAGTCTGAAATGAACTTCTGCTCCTGGGCCTGGAGGGTGTGAGGATGCTGAGAAAGCAGGGATTGGTTCAGGCAGTGTTGGTCACCAGCGTCCTGTAGGAGGTAAAGTTGTGTTAGCTTCCCATGGGCTTACGCTGCCCTTAGCATCCCTGCAGTCGCCCCCCACCCACGCTGGTGGTCACCTAGCCAGGTCGCAAAGGATGGCTTCTCCCCGCATGTGACTTTGTCTCCCTTTGTGGACTACTGTAAACAAGTCGCTTATTTTCCATAGGGGTCAGGTTCCTCGTCTATCAAATGACACAGCCCCCTCCGGCCCCTTTCAGTGTGTGAGGTGTCACGGGGTAGGGGTATGGGAGGCAGGGCAGAACCCAGGGGAGAAAGCGTAGCTGCAGGCATCGCAAACAGAACACACCCGCATCCAAGAGTCTTAATCCCGCTCTGGCCTATATTTTGGAGAGCTGCAGAAAGGGAGGCAAATGCTTTCAAGTCCTTTCTGAATTAGATCGCAGGTTGGCAAGAAACTGGATGATCAGCTCTAGAGGGAAATGATCCTCTGTTATGGAAACATACATATATCTCTGCTACCTGAAAGGGAGGCTTTGACAAGAGAATTGACCTATTTTTTTTTTTCTCTTACCTAAGCATTTTGGCAGCACAAATCCTCCTTGTGCTATAAAACTGTCTGCTCTGATGATGGCATTGGTGCAGCCCTTGGATTGGCACCACATTCAGCTCGATTGCTTTGTTCCGAGAACCTAGGACCAGAGATTTAGAGTAAACGTTTCCCTAGGACTTGACTTTCTGTTTGTTTGTTTTTCCAGCTTTGTTGAGGTATTATTGACAAATGGAAATTGAGTATGTTAAAGATCCCCAGTGCAATGGTCTACACCGTGAGAGGTTTACTTAGCACAGTCAAGTTGATTCACACATTCGCCTATTTCACAGCCACCTCTGGTGGGGGTGTGTGGAGGTGGCAGAGGAGGATTCTTGTGGTGAGAACACACAGAATCTAGTGGCTCCATTTCGTGTCTTGACCTTTGTAAGTCACGAAAGGCAGATGCTTGGGGTTGCGGTTCCCAGGGCTGTGCCCAGCTCTTGAAAGACAGGTGCACATGAGTGTTCTTGAATACGTTCTCTTTATCTGTGTTTGTGATTTGAAGAGACACCAAGCTTCTGGGTCCTGGCCAGTGGTCATCTTGAGGAACTGAGTTCACCCTGTGCTTTGAGACAGGGCTGTTCAGACACAGGTGAATAGGGGTTGCAGGGCAGTGGTAGGAGGTAGCGGGGCTGGACCCTCTCTGGGCCCCAGGCTCCCCATCTGCTCCAGGAGGGGGCTGGGCCCTCCCAGGCTGCCATGGGGCCTCTCACCAGGGCAGACATAAAGAGCCCTATTGAACCCAGTCTCCTCGGCTGCTGTCCTGACAAAGCCCTTTTCTCCTCCAGCCACAATGGCCCTGTCAGGCAGGTAGCAGGGATTGTAGCTTTGTCTCCCCAGAAAAGAACAACAGGGTTCACTGTCTGTCCCAGGCTTAGTCTCCCTGGGTAGGGCGGGGGCTTTGGAAGGGTCTGCCCAGCCAGGGACAGATGGGCCCTGTCCTTAGCCAGCCGGGGGCTCTGGTGAACCAACCAGCTGGACCTTCAGGATGAGCAGGACAACAAATTCGCCAAAATCCAAGTTTCTAAAACATGACTTTTGAAGTTCATGTCCAATGTTTTGTGTTGAAGAGTTGCAGAGGGCCGGGGATTTAGCTCAGTGGTTCTGCCACCTGCCTTGCAAGCACAAGGTCCTGAATTCAATCTCTGGTACCCCAAAAAAAGTTGCAGGACCCCAAAAAGTAGCCACATGTCATTCCTGAGCCCTGGATAAGAGGCTTATCGATGTAAGACAGCTCCACCAGCGTGTCGTACTGGATCAGCCTCTGACGTAGGCAGGGGTCTCTCTGGCCTGCGCATTGCAGGACCCTCTGCAGCTCCCTTGGCCTCTACTCTGAAATTGCCAGGAACGTAAGTCTATTTCCTCCCATTGCCCACTGGTTTGGACGACTAAAAACATCTGTAGGTAATTGGCAAAATCACCCTGGATTGAGGACCGCCCAGATTTCAAAGGCTTGATAAGGAAAAAAAGAATGTGAACTATCTCCATGGTTTCTAGATATTGATTACATGCTGAAATGATAATATTTTGGTTATACTGGGCCAAGTAAAATGTGTTATTAAATCCATTTCCCTGTTACCCTGTTTCTTTTCACTTTTGTAAAAGTGGCTACTATATATTTAAAATTATGTACGTGGCTCCCGTTGTGTTTCTACTGCGTAGTGCTGTCACAGGGGAAGAAGAGAAGGAAAGTGACCAAGTGGCAGGTCACAGATAGCAGTCAGGTCTCCAGTCAGGTCCCTGACCAAGACCCCAGACCAGCTCTGTTATTCTCTGCAGCAGAGACATGAGCGATGATAATGTTGTTTATTTAGGGTCGCTCTGAGTCTTATACGCGATCACTCAACTTTGTCAACCACCCCAGGAAGCAGGGTCTGTTATTATCTATCTCCATCCTCCAGATGTGGAGGCAGAAGAACGAGACACCGGCCTGCGAGCTGAGAAACCAAGACTCAAACCCCAGGTGCCCTTCGATCCCACACACTGCTTTACACACACTGTTCGTTACAGCTCTGCAGAGCCGGTCTTCTGAGCAGGGTGGGGAAGGACAGATCCTGCCACCTCCAGCAGGATGATGAGGAATCAAGGGAATCTGGACCATCAGGATGCAGAAGCTGGGCCACACTTTCCGGGTGTGTCCCCAGAATGGCTGCTGTCCTCACAGAGAGCTCCACTGTCATCAGAAGTATGCTCAGAAGTATGCTCAGAAGGGACACATGTTCTTGGTCTATCTCTCTGTCTCTCATAAGAGCACTCTGCTCAGCCATGGGGTTCCACGCGCCACTGGCCTCAGTCTCGATGACTGAACAGTGCTGTTACTGAGCTCTTCCTCGGTGGGCTTGCACGTGTTCCTCCTGTGCTCAATACAATCTGGGCACCATCTGAAGTGACATTTTACAGAAGAAACTGAGGCTCGGAGAGGTAAAGTGACTTCCCGGGGGTCAGACACAGTGATAGGGACAAAGTCATAAACTGGGCTTGTGCGTCCCTGGAGCAGTCCTGTTAACAGAAGCCCTGGTTTGGTGAGGCCGGAACCTTTCCTGGACCCTTCTGGTCTTCCTTGGTGTGTGCAGGGCTTCTGTGGAGATGGGGGCCCTGCAGAAACCATGGTGAGTTCTGTGTTGCTCCATTTGCTTTCATTAACAGTGCTGGAAAGGTTTCTTCACATCTCTTGGTTTGCAAATGGAGAAACTGAGGCCCATGCCTAGGCTAAATCATGCCTTACATTACCTAATTTGTGACAGACTCAGCACCTCACTGAAAGTCACCTGAAATTCAATCTAGCACTTTTATCTCTTATCCTTTCTTTCTGGGCTGAAAGAGCTAATTTGAGGGCAAATTATAAGTTAATTTTAAAATCATTTTTAATTTTTCCTACAATACTGGGGAGCTTAGGCAAGTGGGCCACCCCTGAGCTATATTCCTAGTCCTTTTTCGTCTTTATTTTGAGATAGGGTCTTGCTGAGTTGCCCAGGTTAACCTTGAATTTGACCCTTTGGCCTCAGCCTCCCCAATCCCTGGGATTGCTGGAATGCACCACTGAGCCTGGCATGTACCGCTGTTTAAGGATGAGCCAGTAAACTAAGCTTCCTACTGAATTCTTACAAGACTGTGAACTGAGAAAGAAGGCTGTGAGTCGGGTGCTGCTACAATTTCCATTTCAGAGACGAGAAAACCAATGCTTAGGAAGGTTAAGTCACTCATTTCTGATTAAATAATTGAGCTGCGATGAATCCCAGCAGGCGACTCAAGAGCCAGTTTCTTGGTCGCTCTTCACAGGCTGATCAGTTGCATTTAGGGCAACATCTGCCTGTGGGAGGAAGAGCTCCAAATTACTGCATAGGACAGAGCTTACTCTGAGCCCCAGATGTGGAGGCACCGCCTTGCTTGAGAATCTGATGGCTTAGGTTACGGAGAAGATCATCAGGTCATACTGAAACCCAGCTAGTATTAAAGTAGCAATACGGATATAAAGTATTATTACTCGTTGCGCAACTTTTGTGTTGCAGGTGTTTTATGTCTATTTCTTCTCATCTCATTAGGATGTCATTAGGGTACCTCCTGGTACCTGAGCTTCATGGTAACTTTGAAGTACCTGAAGTGACCCTAATTTTGCAGCTGAAACTCTGAGGTCAGTGGCTTGGTGAAGATCACACAGGCACGAGTAGTTCAGCTACTGGGATTTGGGCAGGTTCTCCAAGCAATGGCTGCCCTGACTTCTCTGTTCCCCGCTGAGTCACTGACAACCTCGGGGTAGGGATGGAGAGATCACAGTGACGCTGGCGCCTGGGCCTGTTCGGACCTGCAGCACTTGTCATTTGGGAACAGGGAGTTCTGAACACGGCCAGGGCGAAGCCTGTGAACTTGAACATGAGCAAAACACTTAGGCTCTGTTTTCCCTTTTTAACTAGTCTGTCATGAGCCCATCTCAGCTTCTGACGTTTGAGAGGCTGGTCAAAAAAAAACCAGGATATGAGCTCTAGTCTCTGTTCCGCTACTAATGCACTGGGGCCTGAGACAGCTCCTTCCCATCTGGTCTCAGTTTCCCCAGTAAGTTGAGTGACAGTGAGGAACTAGATCACTAGTCTTTAAAGCCCTCTTCTTTTGTGGGGTCCTAGTGAGATTTGTCCACAGGTAAGATTATCTGGATGGACAACACACAAACCAAGAGTGGCAGGTTCTGTTGCTTCAGGGCAGAAGCCTGGAAACTTGACCATTGGGGCCTCCCTTGTGTTTCCCTCTGTCCTCCCCGCTCAGCAGTAGCTGAGACCCCACACTCATGTAAGCCCTAGGCTGACTGCCAGTGGGGGCTGAGTGGCATACATGTGTACTGGCCTGTGCGGTCAGGGGACACGTCTGCAGAGCTAGTTCAGAAGAACGGCCTGAGACCTTCCTGAACGGAGAGTCTGATGAAGGGACACCTGTAGGCCCATTTATCAAGGCCCTGGGACACAGGACACAGTGCCGTTGCTGAGGGGACGTGAGCACTCCGGCATGGGTTAAGTGGTCAGAGTCGCAGAGAGAAATTCCTGCTCACTCCAGGGTAACGTGACATGTGGTGTGGTCCTGGTGAGGTGTTTGCTTTGGAAGCTCAAATAAAATAGGCTCAGCCTGCTTCAGGGACTCTGGGGAGAAGGAGTAGCCTTGCAGTTGTGTATGGTCTCACTTCAACCACTCATAATAGCTGTGTAACCTTAGGCAAGCTATGGATCCTTTCTGGGCCTTGGCTGTCTTATCTGGAAAATAAGGATAATAATGATAATGGTAATAATAATAAAGTTACCTTCTAGTCAGTACTTGCTACGTGCTGAATCTCTGTAAGCATTTCTCCTGCATTGTATCAGCAAATCCTCAGGGTGACCTTATTAAGGAGGCATCCTCCTGTCCATTTGACAAAAGAGGAAACTGGGGCACAGAGAAGTTAAGTGGCTGCCCAAGTTCCCAAAGCTATAGCTATCAAAAGGTGGCACACGCCTGAAATCCTGGCACTCTGGGAGGCTGAGGCAGGAGAGAGGCAAGTTTGAGGCCAGCCTGGGTGACTTGGCAAGGTGCTGTCTCAAAAGAAAAGAGAAAAAACTTAAAGGCTGGGGGAGGAGGAGCAAGTTAAGACGCAAACCCATGTTTATTTGACCACAGAGGGAGCATTTTCATCTGTAACATCACACCGCCTCCTTACAATAAAATCTGCTCCAAAGGGCTCTTTGAGAATAACGAGAGACCATTTAAGTCATGATAGCAGAGTTGGTGCTCAACAAATAAATTCTCTTTCCTCCTCTCCATGATAAGTGCACCAAGGAAAGTATCTATGAGGCTGAAGGAGTTATACAAGTACCTTTCTTCCTGGCAGGTGGAAGAACCTAAGAAAAAGGAAGCGAATTCTGTTTAATCTCAGGAAAAAAACCTATCTTTTTTTCCTGCAAATAAACTTCTTTGATGAATGTTTCCCAACCTGTGTCCCATGGGACACCACAGTATTCTGTGCTCAAGAAAGTGGTGTTGGCGAACCAATGGCATGCGTGCTGCAGCTGGCACACCTAGCCCTCTCTGTCTACTCGCAAGCCAAGTTGCCCCGACGTTGCCCGAGCATCAGATAACAGTGCCGACCTGGGCAGTGTCTGCACTTTGAGGGCTTTGGGTGGCAGTTTAGGCACTCACTGTCTCAAAGGCTCGCCATCACTGCAGTAAGCCTAGGGAATGCTACAGCCTCACGTCCTCTCTTAGAGATTCCTGTTGCAATAAGCATATTAGAGGCGCTGAAAGGTCCTGACTGCTTTGGCTTAACCTAGATTATTCCAAGCTCAACTGGTCATGGAATCCCCCCCCCCCACCATGTAATACCCATTTGGCAGAACAGTAGCTAGAGGAGAACAGATTCTTTCTGTGTATGCACATGAGGCAGTTAGAGGCTAGAAAGCCTACGTGGGTTGCCTGGTGGTGTATGCTTCTGTAACAGAAGCCTTATTCACAAATTCATTGCTGAGATGCAGTGTAGAAGAGTGGTTAAAGCAGGAAACAACCTGAGTTTAGAAGATGCCTTTTCTATTCTCTAGCTGTACTCAGTTGGGCAGTTTCCTGGCTTCCCGGTGGCTGTCCATTAATTTCCTGCCAACACGGTCACACAGGAAATTCTGGTTTGCACGTGGGCGACCCCAAAGGAATCCAGAATGTGGGTGAAAATTTCCTCACAGCTAGTCAGGTGAGGCAGTCAGGTAAACATCCCCACCTTCACAGAGGACCTGCACAGCTGCTGAGAGGCGACACTGCGCCACCAGCCTGGGGAGCTGGAGGGACAGCCTCTAGGGGTAGACCTCACACTGAGGCTGGGTCAAAAAAAAAGCCACACCTTTTTTGTAGTTGAGCTAAAGATCAACTGGTGATAATTATCTGCATTCTGCTCCCCCACTGCAGTGTACCTACTGCTTTGTTTGTTTGGTTGGTTGTTTTTCCAGTACTGGGGATGGAACTCAGGGCCTTGTGCTTGCCAGGCAGGCGCTAAATCCCTAGCCCCACTTCTATATTTGTTTTGTGACCTGCCCTGCAAACGTTTGTGCCTCTCTGTCTTCTGTCTGCCACTCTCAGAAAGCCTGGACTGTAGAGTCCTCAGGGATTTAGTCAAATCCAGGCAGGGGTCCTCATTTTAGTGAAGGGCCTTGCTTTTAACTTTTTTAGGAGCCCCAAATCCCTTTAAGCATCTGGTACAAAGCCAACACTTGCCTCCAAAAGAGCACTTCCCACTGAATTCCGGAGGAGCAGTTTGCTGACCCCTGGCTTTGTCCAAAGGGGAAAATATGCTATTTTTAAAAGGTAGGACATTTCTATGGAGGTGGAACCTCATAGAGAATAGTAACAAATGTCAAACCTGAAGATCAGTGGATTTTTACAGGTGGATCATACACTCTTGTAACTAGCACCCAAATAAGATTCTTTTCCAGCCTTCTGAATGGCCCAACGAAATCTTGAGCAGACTATTTTAAACTTTAGAATACCCACTCCTAAGGGAAACATAAATTCTGATATTACCACCCTCCTATATTTATACGCTTATTTTGTATGGTAGTTATTGACTATCTCTCCTGGGACACCAGGGTTCCTTGGGAGGCCAACGTTACATTAATCCTGGTGCCCCCAAGCTGATGACCCATTGCCTCATGCTTGTCAAACTCTCTCTAAATCCTAAGCCTTCTCTATTATTAATAATAACCACAAGTCATCAAGCATTATACACTACACTGGAACTTATTTGGATTATTTTAAGAATCACATAGATTTTATGAGGTAAACAGCACTATCTTAATTTCCCCTGAGGTTTACTGAAGTACACAGTCTTGCCGAAGACCACAGCAGCTGGCTGGTGGCAGCCCTGGGACCCAAAACCAAATCTGTTCAGCACCGAAGCTCCAACACTGTATGTTGACCTTCCTGTTTTCTTAGCTCTTCTATCAGGAAGGGCTGGGGGCGAGGATGTCTTGGGGTTGAATCTGTGGGGCGGGGACCGGCTTCCTCTTGATGCATCCTGGTCCTAGCTTCCTACAGCTCACCTCGGCGCTGTGACTTTCATGCTTAAAATGATGAACACAGGATCACATATTTTTTATACATTCATTTTAT